TCAATAAGGGGAGACGGTCTCACAGAGACGGACAAATTCCAAACAACAAATTCCCGGGACTTGGCCGATTTGCATTTCAAACCATCGCAATTATTATCGAAAGGCGAGGTGACTGCATGGATATTTTTCTGGATAACTACACATATAGTGTCATAGCACACATACGCAAAACATAACAAATATATATAAACTATTTTATTTTACTTGATCTATGTTCTTTGCCGAAGGGGAAAAAAGTAATATTTATACTAATCGTGAGCGCATTGGGACGAGTCAACAAACGGGAAAAGACGCTGAATCGACCGATATACTATTTAATTGGACAATCACACTGTGCTTAAGTGTGTTTTTGAAGTTGTATGTTCAAACATGGAGCTCCATGGTTCAAATGACAATATAGCTTGAAATATTATATTCCATCCCATTCAAATCTGGCTCAAAGGGTCAGATTGCGTGCATATAATTAAAACTAACAGAACGTATTTGAACTAAGGCTATACACGCCTCTCAAAACAAGAAAAACGCAACTATGTAAACCCCAGACCATGTTTTTAGTAGTTTTAATTTTAACGCAATTTGGGCAAGCGATCGTTACTTCCGGGTAAGAATAAAGCGGTCGAAAAGTGGAAGCGGGCGAGGGGCTGGACGAAATAAGTACGATACGTAATAAGATTGCGCTTTGCGATTTGAAACATAGCTCGTGACTGAATAATGTATAATAAACTAGACTTCCATACAAATTCGTGTTTGTCCGGTCGTTACATTGCAGCTGAGACATTACGAACCATTTCGGAAATTTGACGTACTTTATACTGTGTTGTATGCAAATTTATGGCGATGGTGACAGGACATGCGACCGTCGTCTAAGGGCTGTTGTGCGAACTGTTTCTACTCTTCAACAACGGTCTTAAACGACAGTCCCCAAACCCAACCAAAAAGTCAGTTGTTTAGCGACATTATTACATAAATAAGAGCAAATTCTTATTCAGTTTTGAAGTCAGTTCAGGTTAATTTGTTTTGAACTGTACGAAAAAATTGCAATTTCATTCGATTTCTAAATTCACGATGTTTTTTTTTACCACCAGTCTGTCTTATCGGGAATAAACATTGTTGCTAGAAATTTGCAGAATATCGTAGAATTTGTTGTATGCTAATTGTATGATTCTTTTGACTGCTCAAATGTGAATTACGGCTTATATATTTCAATGCAAATCCTGGATTCTGGTTGATCAACTTGTCTAGCCGTGTGATTAAAAAAATAGAAAGGTGCAAAATTCACGCAAAAAACAAAACAAACGATGCACAGTGACCTCGAGTAGTTGGCGTGGCAAACCAAGTAAATTATTTACGTGAACTGTAAAATGCAACTTCTCCAATTATTTTAGATTTTTTGAATTTTCAAATGCCCCTGCACACTGATCGTCACGGAGAATGCTATCTTCTTTGATGCTCATAATGCACTACGCTCGTTTGAATAGCAACCACTTTCTGTGTAGTACTACTGGATTCATTCATGTAAATCACCATGCATGTCGCCGTGAAAGCAGTACGCTAGGGTCATTAGTAACAGTTAGAAAATTCATACGTGTCTCACACGGCAGCCAAGAGTTGCGGATACACTTCACATGATGGGCAAGCAACTCTTTTTCAAGTTTTTCTGTGGTGATTCCTCAATTCACAGACGGAGACTGTTCAATGTTTGGCGGTTTACTGTGGAATGTCAATATGCCCATGTACTCACTCAATAACCATAAAGGTGTTGTTTGATTCCACAAGATCCACAACTTGATTCATGACTGCCAAAAGAAATTAACCGCCCCAGACGCATATAAACTACCTGTTCGTGTTCAAGTGTTGTCATTTTGGAACATTGTTAGTTACTCTGTTTGCATACTAAAATAACAAAACACTGTAATACGTTTTCTGAGCTAGGATTGAGACTCACTTTGTATTTTACAGTGTCCATGCATGCATACATCGAGCTGACAAAAAAACACTGGACTGCCCACCATCACCACTGGGCTAGCACACAAATTCCCATCATGCAATGCGAATTGTGTACCCCATGAACATTTGAACAAAATTGACGTGAATACTTGTTAAATGTAGCGGTGCTGCAGTACATTGAATGCAAACTAAAGTTGCAGCCTCTTGATTATAATTCATGGATATTAATACTTGCAATAGTTTACCTCAGTTAATAACTAAGAATTATTATTTCAAATGGACTAAACTGAATAAAAAACGATGCCTTTCATTATCTGTACAATGTTGAATTACTGTAGAATACTTTATTTTCGCTTGGAATTTATTTTCGCTATTTTCGCTGAATGGATGATTCCGTGAAAATAAAATCCAGCGAATATACTTTTTTTCCTATATTTCACATTAAATTCATCAAAAATCAGTGAAAATAAGTTCCATACAAAACTCCTATAAAAGCCTTTTCAGCGAAAATTAATTCCAGCGAAAATAAAGTATTCCACAGTACTTGACATGTACGATCATGGTTTCAGGAGCAATTATAGAATGTATGTACGCCATTGTATAATCGCTTACATTAACGTGTCCTATTTATACACATAAAAGGATTCGTGTTTGTGATATTATGTTTAGAAGTATGGGTGTTATGTTCTGAACATTCAACATATCAAATATATCGAACAATTGTTACAACTTCATTATTTTAATCCCCAACGTATTATTTTTATACAATAATAATATTTTTGAAAACAAATAACAGTTGATGTTAAAAGTAACTGATTCAAAGACTACAATTGTAGAAAAGCTGTTTATTTTCTCTGTTTTTCTGTAATTAGCCACAAGATCATCTCGACTTCATGTATCATGATATAGGCTACTGGTTCATTTATTTATATATAGTTCTTAATGTATATTCCTCTGTTGCTACCATAATCATCACAAATTCCTAATAATGCGCGATGCATATGGAGACGAATTCAATGGATAGACTGTTTTCACCATATGGTTGTAACCAATGGTGAATTGCTCTGGAATGTTCATAAATTCTATTTTTGTAATTAAGTTTTGTGAGAAAAACTGTGGTGACCATATTTTTATATGGGTTATATGTAATATACATATCATGGTTGAACCATGGAGGTAGAAAAGAGAAATAAACTCTTTGGGGTTCAGTATTCTGAAAGGTGTGGAACAAGGTCGAATATAATAATTTGTTTAATCACCACATGCATGAATCCCCCATAATCTTAATGAATAAAACTGAGCCAAATCAATCCTTTGAGTGCTGTTCTAATTCTAGTGTATCTCCAAATATCTTTTCCCTTTATCAAAACTTTTTGAATTTGTTTGGTCAATGGATTAAAAAAAAATAATGAAGCTCAATTATCTACTACCCCCCTAAAGATAAAAAGCTGAATTTTTAAAAAAAGTATTTGTCAATCCTTAATAAGACAGAGATAAAAATGAGTTTCAGTAAAGGAAAAAGATAATATTGGGTAGGCAGGTTTTTATTTTATTTTAGTTTTTTTCTACCTTTTAACAAGATATTTCTATCGGTATTATAGTCACGCAAGAAAAAATGAATATCAATTGCAGCTAGTCCTTATATGGTAGATTTCTCACTAATTACATCAAAGGGAATAAATGAAAAGAATGATTTTTGTGGATAGAACATAATTAATTTGCATACAAATAAAAAAAAAAGTCAACTACCTCGCATAAATTAAAAGTTTGCACTTCACCAAAAATGTGGATGGGCAGAGTTATTATATGAAACGAATGGTTATGGTGAACAGTGAAAGTCAGTCCCCTCCAATAAATACTTCTATAGATTCTTAGAAACAACTAACTCGGAATTTAACATAAAAAAAATATAACATTGATGCTAAATTGTCATTACCAAAAACAATTCACTTTTAAGAGTGGATGTTTCAGTGATATAAATTTTGAACAAAACACCATATAAATGCATAGAAATCCAAATATTTTCTACATAAGAGAAAACTAATTAATTTGTCTGCAGGCTATGACGTATCAAATTGCTACTCGTCTCCAGCAGGGTTTAATGGAGTTTTGTCAATTCTTGTTGCGTGCGGCGGCTTCCATTATCTTAGATGTTGCCGAAAATACATTGTAGTATCACATTCCATTCATTGAGCGGGTATGCCGTTGTTGTGAATGGGTTGGGTAGGCATGTGCATATTTGGCTCATCAGATATTTTAGATCTGTTGTATTTCACACCATTGATGCAAACAAGACATACATATAATACAGCATATTATTGCTTCTGGCTTTTTTTACTAAAAACCACATTTACCGATATTATAAAGATATCAATATTAATTTTAATTCTTTTCACAGAATGTGAATTTGGATATTATTGAGTGTGGCGTTATTTTTACTGCAAAAACGTATTGCTCACATGCTGGTTGTTTCTCTATTGGTATTAAAATAGCTTTAGTATATTCAGTACAATAGAATGTTTTATTACTTATTATGTATGCATATACAGTGCCCCCTTGCTAAGTTGCAGTTCCGGCTAAGTTGTGGGTAGTTGGATGGCTCCCAAAAATTCTGTTGTGTTTTGCCAGGAGTTTTGAAATAGAGGAACTAAAAGGACTGGAGTAGACAACTTAATACCTATTGGCCGATAATTACTAAGATACAAAGGGTGACATCGGCCTGACTTGAGGTGTTGGACGGGGATATGAAGTCGTGACTTTACGTACTTCTCTGTCGGTCTCCTGATAAAACTCTATAAAACTTGCTGCAATGAGTTGAATCCATGTTGACATAAACGTTGTGGTGTTGTTCATTAAAGAAAACACACTATAAATAAACCCATGTTTGTATTAGTGCATTTTACCCCTCGGTAAGTCACGACCCTTGATAAGTCTTGATTTTTGCTTTGATCCTGACACCCAAGATTTAGTGAGGGGCCACTGTGTATTAAACTCAATAGTATAGCAATATTTTACACTATTGTATAATAATTTATAATTATTTGTTATTTTAGAAACCTGAGCTGGACATCAGTCACGAGATTGCTGTTGACAGACTCACCGATACCATCACTAGTGATGGGGACGAGAATAAGACGCGTGGGAATTGGAGCAACAAATTGGATTTTATATTATCCTGTATCGGGTATGCGGTAGGACTCGGAAATGTCTGGCGATTTCCATATTTATGCTTCTCCAATGGCGGAGGTAAGAATAAAATGGCTCTGTTTTGCTGTGTATAGATGAGTCTTCAAAAGCGTATTGGTGATCGTCTAACTTAATGAGGGTCATAGGTGGATGAACTCGTGACCTTTCAGCATTCACCCTAGATGCAGGACATAAAATTCAAAGACCTGTGTCTGGAAAAACATTTTATTGCGTAGTACACAAAGCTTTCTTCCTATGTACCAACAATATATACAGTACTTAAAACTTAATTTATAACAAAGAGTTCAAATGCCATAGCAATGTAGTCTGTATTGGTTTGTAATACCAATTTACTGTCCTTTGTGCAATGCATGCTAAATAGTTCAATGCCCTGATAGCTACTAATACTGGCACCAACCAACATATAATGCCCTGGTAGCTACTAATACTGGCACCAACCAACATATAATGCCCTGGTAGCTACTAATACTGGCACCAACCAACATATAATGCCCTGATAGCTACTAATACTGGCACCAACCAACATAATGCCCTGGTAGCTACTAATACTGGCACCAACCAACATATAATGCCCTGGTAGCTACTAATACTGGCACCAACCAACATATAATGCCCTGGTGGCTACTAATACTGGCACCAACCAACATATAATGCCCTGGTAGCTACTAATACTGGCACCAACCAACATATAATGCCCTGGTAGCTACTAATACTGGCACCAACCAACATATAATGCCCTGGTAGTTACTAATACTGGCACCAACCAACATGATGCCCTGGTAGCTACTAATACTGGCACCAACAAACATAATGCCTTGGTAGCTACTAATACTGGCACCAACTGTCATACAATGCTCTGGTAGCTACTTATATTGGCACCAATCATCTCAGATAATTTTTGACCTGCTTATTTTTTTTCTCTTTTTACCAGGAGCATTTCTTATACCATACATCATCATGTTAACACTGGCTGGCCTGCCTCTGTTTTTCTTGGAATTGGCATTCGGTCAGTTCTCGAGTGTTGGCTGTATCAGTGTCTGGCGAATCTCACCAATCTTCAAAGGTACTGATATTATTTTATCATTAATATACCCATTTTTCTGAGAGGTAATATTTGCTATGACTCATATTTTGCTCTTCAAGTCTGATTCCGTCAGACATGTACACTATATGCACACAAGCATACTAAAATAAATGTAGAGTTTTTAAATAGAATCCTCATACCAATGTTGTCTTACAAAAAAACAAGTTGTTTTCATTTACTTGGAATATTGAATTATCAAAATATTTTGAAATCTAACTTAAAATTGCACAACACAAGAAATCAATTCATATCTTTTTCTCTTTGTTTAGTCTGTAATGGAAATTATTCCCCCGATATCACATTGATGACGTCAGAACACATCTGGCCATCACTTCAACTTAATTAAGCCATGATGCCAGAAACACTTAAGCTTCTTTTCCAGCAATCTGACATGCATCCCTATTTGTCTACCAGTATATTTGAAAGCTTAAACGTGTAATATAGATATTGTTTTGATTAATACATTGTAGTGAAAGCAACAAAATACACATAGAGTATACAACTGTAAAATACTTTATTCCACTTGGAATTTAATTTTGCTATTTTCACTGAAGGGATGATTCAGTGAATATAAAATCCAGCTGATATAATTTTTTCCCTTTATTTCACATTCAGCTTGTCAAAAATCATACAAATTGACCTGAAATCTTTCCAGCAAAACTTAATTCCAGCTAAAATAAAGTATTTTACAGTAACCTGCAACCTGACTGCAAAACAAACATTCCGGTGAAATATTTAACTACATTTTTTAATTTGTGTTCTTAAAATAAATTGAATATGGACCTTCTTATTATAAATGTGTATACTGGTAGTGTCGATTTCAAGGGCAAATTATGTGTTATACATTGATGTATTTTCTGAGTCGAATGTCACCAAGAATCACATCACTATGCTTGGTAATGATTAGAATAATAGAGGTGTTCATAAAAAACAATATCTGAATGTCAATGTTGTTGATCTTCTGGTGTCGTAATTTTAATTACACAAGAACATGTGTCATTTGCATACTGAAGTAATACACGTCTTTGATTCATATTTGACATGGTATATTACAAAAAACTTGTACCTTAGATTTGTATTATTTATGCCACACTTTGTGTAAACAATTTATTTTATATGCGCTGTGTATGTTGCATGAGACCCATGTTGTACACTGCGATGTGCAAACACAGTATTTCTTTACATATTCAATGTTGGGCTGAAAAAAACAACTTCAAAAATGTTCAGAATGTGAGTCGTTGATTCAATATTTTTTTGTTTACAAGCAGTTTTTCTCTTTTTGTTTGTTTGTTTGTTTGTTAGTGTATATGTTTGCTAACTAAGTAAAGTTTTTGCCCTCATTGTCTAAATATAGAAACGCAAACAACTTTGTTTGACCCTTGAGTCAACTTCAGTCAGCATTCACAAAATAGTTTCATTTGTAGTCTCTTCTTTTCAACATCAAATTTTTCGATCAAAACTAAAGGTAATGTCATATTTATTCTAGTTTGGTTGAAAATTAGGGCTGAATTCAGTCAAAAATACAGAAAAAGTCCTTTTGTAATTTTCAGACTATATTTTCTAAACATGCCTTGTTTAGTAAATCCTTCACATACCATGCATCTTACATAATTATATATTCATATTATAATCTGAAACCAATCATCTGAATCATATGTGGTATATATAGGTATACAAGTGTCAAATACTGTAATCTGTAATTTAACGTGTCTTTCCAAGATAGTACATACTTTTAATATTTTAGTTAAGTATACTGAATATATAATTAACTGTACCAATGTATTGTAGGTATTGGATACGCAATGGTCATCATGACTGCGTTGGTGTGCTTGTATTACAACATCATCATTACATGGACAATATTCTACATATTCGCCTCGTTGTCACAAATTCCCAGCTTACCCTGGGTAAGCTGTGGCAATTCATGGAACACCGAGCTCTGCTTCGACGACAAGATCAGCGTGAACCAAACACTGAATAGCACAGATTCCAACTACATTATTTCTGATGTTGTTATTGGGAATATGGAAACCACGACTGGAGCTTCGGTATTAGACGTTATCTTGAACAGCACTTTGTATAACGGCACTATCAAGGAGAATGTGTACAACCTGATGCATGTCACTCCTAATGTGACGAACTCTACGAGCAATGCCACCAATCAGATTATTAAAAGACCCAGCGAAGAGTATTGGGAGTAAGTTTTAAAAGCTGATTAAATTACGGTTACTTTTAAGATTCATCTTTGAAAAAATATTGAGGTTAATCAAACAAATGTTTTCCCTTGAAAATGAATCATAGTGTAATATCGAACAGTACGGTATTTAACCTCTGATTGTTGACTTGTTTATAGCAATCACGTTCTTCAAATCACCGATGGCATCGATAATCTAGGAGGCATCCGATGGGAGCTTGTTGGTTGTTTTGCTCTGGCTTGGGTTGTTGTATTTCTCTGTATTGTCAAGGGAGTTAAGTCATCAGGAAAGGTAGGAAACATGGCAAACCACTTTCAATGCATGTACTCAGTTGTACATTATTTTTCAGATGAAAACTGGTATATTTAATTTGATGCTTGTCAGTGTTGCGTATTTATGTTATTCTATTAAACATAGCTGACTAGTGTATGCAGCCTAACTATAAACTTGACCTTGTTGTAATTGCAGGTAGTATACTTCACCGCCTTGTTCCCATACTGCGTATTGATTATTCTATTCTTCCGAGGTGTCACACTTCCAGGATCTATGAACGGTGTTCTGTTTTATATCACACCAAAATGGCACATACTACAAGAAGCCAGAGTAAGTCAATATTTCTAGAAAAACACTTCAATATCCAAGGCATTGTTGAAATGATGGATATGTGTGCTGTGTACAACTATCAACTTTTTGTACCTCACAGCTTGTTTCCATTGATCCTTTACGAATGCAAACTACATTATGTTAATTATATGCAAATCGTGCTGCTTTGTGGAGAACACAAATATGAATAGCTAGTTTGACTGTGCAGTGGGAAAACAAAATATTGATCTACTGTTTAAATGATTCTCTGGTTTTTAATTTCCCTATTTTCGTAAATCCCACTAAATTAAATCTACCGGTATAAGAACATTAAAACATTAAACTCATCGTTTCCCTGCCAAGTCTGTGAATTTAAAACCCAGTGAAATAATATCAAAAAATGGAAACTAAATAGCAGTAAAAAAAATGGTCTTACAGTAGGATTGGTCACATTTACGGACATTTTTTCAAAAGAAATTACAAGATATGTTTTGTTTTCTTTGTGAACTGTGCACCGTATGAATGTAGTTTATTTTTTATTTGGCAGGTATGGAAGGACGCTGCTGCCCAGATCTTTTATTCGTTGGGCATTGCATGGGGTGGCTTACAAACATTAGGTAGTTACAATAAGTTCCACAATAACTGCCATCGAGATGCCCTTATTGTTGCCTTCTGTAACTGTGGTACCAGCGTTTTTGCCGGCTTTGTTATTTTTTCCATCATTGGATTCATGGCCCACGACGCAGGTGTCAATATACAGGATGTTGCTGAACAAGGTATGTGTTGCTATGGTTATGATGTGAAGGCTCATTGAGTGTCCAGTTTCAAATCGGCATCGATATTGATATGCATCTAATACCACTATGTCACAGTGGGTGAATAAATTATCATAGATATGTCTGGTTGGAAAGCGTGATTTGAATACTTAACTGGAGATAACTGAATTACAGCATTTAATGGATCCATTTGCTGAGCCGATTAAAAAGTGTAGAAAGCTTGTTCGCTGATGATCATCGCCCTAAATTACACACAACAAAATGCAATCACGTCCATGCCGCTCCTCTCCTATGACTTATGTTAACCATTTACAGTGCACTTTATTATAAAACAACTAGTAACACAAGTTCTGCTTGGTTGCTGATTCAACGAGAAATGTTGGGGACAATGACAAGCATGACCAAAATTAAAACACATAGAGCCTCTAAGAAATCTACAGAAATGAAAGGAATTAATATTTATTGTGTTCAAGCTGTGACAGTAATGTCTAAAATAAAATCAAAATTAGTGTCTCAACCTGGTGTTCAGTTAGGATAAGTGACATAAACTCAGTGCAATAAAATTGATTCACTTTTGCCAACAGTCTGTGTTCTTCGCAGTCATAGAGGTGAAATTTCTACAATGTCCTTGTGTTTGATTAATGCTGCTAAATTGACTGTAATACACATTGCATCAATCCATGTACACTGAGTTGTATTTATTGGCATTGACCCAAATGTAAAAAAAAATCCTGATAAATGGAACGCAATAATAAACCAGACATGACACACAAGTGTTTATGCTGATAATCTGCATCAAACCATATTATTGCTAAGCTTACTGTATATGCTGTTTTTATTATCAGGGGCAGGGTTGGCTTTTGTGGTGTATCCAGAGGCAGTTGCCAGGTTACCGGTATCTCCATTATGGGCATTCCTCTTCTTCTTTATGTTGTTTACACTTGGGTTGGACAGCCAGGTAAATGCTTTTGTTTCTAATCAAAATATTGCAATGCATTTGATTTCAAGACACTTGTTTATGACATGTTTTTCAAATCATATTAATTTTTTTCATTTTATTTTTTTATATTTTAGTTTGTCATGATGGAAACTTTGATCACAGCGATAATGGACGAGATGTCGTTTATGTCAGGAAAATTAAGGAAGAACAAAGTCTGGGTAACCCTGGCAACCTGTATTATCTTTTTCATTGTTGGATTACCCATGGTTACAAAGGTATAAAACAATTTACACTACATTTGTGTAGATTCATTTTGGTCGTTGTGCCGTTATTGTGCCGTTGTCTTCATCACATTAAGCGTTAGGCGCAGTACCACTGATTGGAGAGTTATCTAAACATGTACTATCCTTCGTTATTATTATAATCACAGCTATCATATAGTAAAACAATAATAATTGACCTGTAGGGAGGAATGTACATATTACAACTAATGGACTGGTATGCCGCTAGCTTTTCGCTTATGACAGTTGGATTTTTGGAATGTGTTATCATATCATATGTTTATGGTGAGTTTATTTATAGTATAATTCCATATGTTATGGGGTTTTTTGTATTAGTGTTTTCAATAAAAATACATTCATCAATGCGTAGAACTAATCACATTGTACATACTGCATTTTCAATTATCTATATATTGGCGTATTAATTAAACATTGTGTACATTATTCTGTTTTTACTAAACACACTCAGTATTTGGTTGCATTTATAAAAAACAAAAATGCCAAATACTTAGGCAAATTTTTTCAACAATAAAAAGAAAATTTTGTGTAATTTTGTTTTATTTAGGCCTTACCAGTACCTTGTTATTTTCTCTCTAAAAATAGCATGGAATATTATATTAACACATATGATATTGTGAATAGTTTAAATACATTGTGAAATAACAAATGGAATATTTTCGTAACAAAACCTGAAAGTGTTTACTATTATATAGACAGTGCCTTTTTCTGTGTTTACAAATACTCTATTGAGTAGACTTCTATCACCTTGTTCTTGTCGCAGAATCTTCAAGATATTTAAATAAAACCTTAAGATTTGTTGGCAAAGCTTTTTACCGACCAGAATACAAGAAATAACAAAGCAACTCCACGTGCTGTTAGACATTCCCTCAACAACTAGAACCTATTCAACCATATAACATTCTATTTAGTTATAGCAAACTCTATACACGTATGATTTACAATCGTCTGTAAATCTTCGCAGCACATGGCATGCCCTGAAAGACGTTATGGCTTAATTTCATAAGCTTTTTATCAGTGTGTGCATTCCTGTCTTTATTTGCCATCGTTCCTTTCATTCTTACAGGAATCAATCGTTTCTGTGACGATTGTGAAGTAATGATTGGATTTCGTCCAAATATTTACTGGAGATCATGTTGGATGGTTGGAGCCCCATTTATTCTTGGGGTATGTAATAGTGCAGAGAATATTATTCTTCTAAATTGATGAACCAAGACAAAAAAAAACATAATGTATATCTCAACTTGTAGTGTTAACTTTTTCACCACCAGTTCCACTTTTCATCACAAGTTCACAAAATACTGTAATATACTTTATTTTTGCTTAGAATTAATTTTCGCTATGTGTGCTGAAGGAATGATTCAGTGAAAATAAAAACCAGCAAATATACCTTTTTCCTATATTTCACATTCAACTCGTCAAAAATCAGTGAAAATAAATTCCATACAAACACCCAAAAAGTCTTTTCAGCGAAAATTAATTCCAGCTAAAATAAAGTATTTAACAGTAGTCTCTTTTATAGTCGGAACTTTTTTTCAGAAGACAAAAATAGCCAAATTTAAAGCAAAAAATTGACTAAAATTTTGTCTGTTGGCTCCAAAATTAGGGTTCATTTCCAGAACTATTGAAGAATATAAGAAAAAAGTACAGAAAAATTTGGGCGAGAATATCTGGTGGTGAAAAACCACAGTACATGTGCAATGGACAATGTAACTGTTCTTATTGAAAGTATTTGATGTGCATTGATGAGAAATGTAAATATGTCAAAGGTTATATTGTGCCGGTAAATCTATTCACTGACATGTATATGGATCAATGCACAATAATACTGGGTATTGTATAAATAACTGAATTATTCATAATACGCTCCACCCATCACATGTGGTTTTAACTCGTCAAATATGTCCTTGTCGGGTCAAAACAAGACTGCCTTGGGATACAAGCACTCTTCTCAGGACCTTTCAACTTCATTCCTGCACAACTTAAGGCATTTTCCAATATTTTGTAGTTGTCTTTCTTAGTAATTTGACCATAAATTAACGATTATTCAGAAATTAAAGGAATTCATTACATCTGGATAGCATAGAAGTGTAGTATACTACAGTATATGCATTTATTTATATTCCATTTTCTCTCATAGTTTATCCTGATATTCAGCTTCGTGTCGTACACGCCATGTTCGTATGGTGACTACGTATATCCAGCTTGGGCCGAAGCCTTGGGATGGGTTATGGTGATGTCGTCGTTAGTTGCTATTCCAGTATATGCCATTTATCACTTGATTAGGAAGCAAAAAGGAACCTTTATGCAGGTAATTACCGCTTAGTATAAACACTGCCCTCTAGTGATGGTCTTACCTTGAAGATGCAAGGTAACAAGTTATTTATGCTGGCGCTTTGTAATTATCGTTCTTTATATCATTTTGTCATCTGTTTTATATCTTTATTTTCTTTCTTGCCAAATTATTTTTTGCAACTGCGATTTGGGTATCGCTTTTTTAAATTTGTTCATTCTCAATATATTAATTAAATAAATTTCTATATTTTATTCACAGCGATTACGACAAAGTGCGAAGTCAAAGCAGTCCTGGGGGCCAGCTTTGCCAGAACATCGCAAGCTGGCTGGATATGGGCCAATGCGCCAAAAGACGACACCTCCCCCTTCCTATCTGGACGTTGTCTACTGTCAGGTTGAAAACCATAAAGAGGGAACAACGAAGGATGCAGGACACGAGGAAACACTGTTCTAATAAAACAAATTTTACCCTGGAACCACGACGTTGTACGAGCGGGGTGCCAACATCCAGTGACCAGATTGTGTCCTACAATGCCATGGTTCCAGGCCAATGAGACGCGTATATTTCTGATAAGTTACAATATGGCTGTCGCTGGCAACATGACCTTCAGATGCTTTGTGTGGCAAAGTAATAAAATGTGCAACAATTGCCATTTTCTTTTTTTTCTGGTACTCTTAAAAAAACAAAACTAGAATACTGTGTATTTAACGAGGTTGGTGCTCTTTATAAGATCTTTGATTTATTAGTATTTCACACGTCAGAAACAATGTTGCTATACATACGCTATTCCATGGAATATTAGTTCAAGTTATCGTCCATATTAGGGTGTCTTTGCTAATGTGTACTGAATTTCACATTTTGACCAAATTTTGATTTCAACTTGACAAATCGTATTATAGTCCACTTTATTTTGTGTTGTTGCTTTGCTGTAACGTCTTCCATATTGCTATGTAAGCAGAGCTGGTATTTGTTGTACATGTGTATTGTCCTAGCTAGAGGATTAGAGGATGGATACACGTTTATCAATGCAATTGGCACGATGGGTATTGGTATTACATTTTATTGAAAAGATTATATTCTTATACAATTTCATATTGGTAAATAATAATTTTGAATATTTACTTATTTGGATATCATATCGGCTCTGGCTTGTTTGTTTGTTCGTATCTGTCAAGGGAACAGTGCATACTTGCAGTTAGTGAAAAACTAGATGCAACCATTCATGATTTTGAAATTTGTAAAGCACATATGGCTCTCGTGAGAAATGAACTCTGCATAAACGCACATCATTCCAGGCGAAAATACTATTATGTGATGTTCACACACAAAAATGTGATATAAAAATATCCTTTTTGTTTATTTTATGGATAATTCAATTTTTCCTGGATCAAAACAAATTCAGTTTGATCCAAGTAGACGCGATGAATTTTTAAGTTATTTCGATGAATTCTTCTGTTATTTCTGTAATCCATTGCTTCCATATTTTATTATTGTTAAGTAATGAAAGGTATGGTGATAGGAAGTTTTTCAAAATCAAATTACAAAGTGTAATTTCGTTATCTGATATTCATTCAGGCAAATTTTAGGTTGATTAGAGAATTATTATTCAGATTATTTTTTATTTTCAAATTCCTACTGTTAATGCACCATAATGACGTATGTATACAGCGAATCAATGCAAGCCTTGTGTCAGATTTAGTTATATTTTTTCGCTGAATTGGAGCAGCTTCGGCCTTAAGCAATGTACAATGCAACTTTTTGTTCTTCAGCGGTAAATCATATTTTTGTAAAGAAAAAAAAAGTTAATTATATGTAGTGGCGCTGCATTGTGCCCCCCCTCATTTTTTCAGTAACTTCTGTTTTATTTTATGTAGAACAATCCTTAGAAGGGTACTTTTCTGCCATGTTTTTGTTTTTAATAATTAAGTTTTTAATTATATCCAATCATTTCTATTTCTGTAAATTTCTTATTTGTACAGTTTGTTTTTGTTGAATATTTTGTTTTAATTTGATTGTTTTATTGATATACCGTACAGTGTATTGCGTATTCTTCTATGGGCGTCATGTGGTGTGTGTCACCATAGTAACCAGGAATGGATTGCCAAGGATTGTTTGTATCCAATGGCATCACTAGGAGAATAAACTTTGTTTCCTTATTTGTTCTGTAAATATATTTGGGGTCAGAGTGTTCTGTGTATTTGAAAAGGCAACAACGGAATGATTAGTGTGTACTATCTTCTACTTCGTTATTTGAACATTGTATCATTTTCATTTATTTTGAACACAGATGCTTGTAACCTAATTGAAAATTTTCTAGAGAAAATAGTCAATGCAATTTTATCTGTTGAAACTTCTGAATAAAAAAAAAACTCTTGAGTATAGACCGTCTGTTCCATACAAAGTAACTGCTGCTCTATTGTCATGACATGTGATCCTGAGAGTAAACTCGTAATACTTGCTCCAAAAGTGTGATTTACAAATATTTGTTGTCATAAATCGAAGCAAATACAGTTTTTGTAATATATCACATACACCTTTTACAGATATACTGATAATTTCTCTGCCTTTCTGGTTATCTGGAATTGTAATACATGCATTTTTGTTCAAGTGATTCGCCCCAAGTTTAATATTTCAAATCAAATTGACCCCCCTTTTCCAATTACTGCCCAATGTCACTGTTATTAATTCTATTGAAGGTGGTAAAAAGTCATGCACTTTATTGATCTGTACACAGATGACGTTGTCATGGAATGGGAGTGATATTTTGTATTAAGGTGGATTACTGGTATTCCATCCATTAAATAGAGACAAAAATATTATTTCATAAGTGTCAAAGAATTATTGTTACATATGTTATCATTTTTTCAGGTTCGGAACAATTTCCATAGGCATGTTAATTCATGAAAAATAATAGTCATCATTTTTTGACAGTATATGTATTTATCTTGTAAAAGCATATGATTTTTTTCACCATATGGAACTCAATTAAATATTGAGATAGGGTCAATCTGATTAAAATCTCATGTACCAATGTAGATAAAGGCTATTTATGTTTATTTATAAATATTTTTTTGTTTTACTTGCTGTTATTAAGTTTTTTTTTATTTATCGTATCGTAAAACCAAAACAATATTCATAAACAAAAGTAACAATACAAATTTGAGATTTTAATCAGATTGAGATATGGTGAGAACTGTTTACTATATGAAGCAATGGTAAATGGTTCAGAAATCACCAGTTTCATGGATGTTTGACCTGTCACTAATTTGATGACCCTATCTGATTTTTGTGACCAGCCATGTAGACTAAATCTATTCTGTAAATATCAGGTAAATCTGATCATTTGTTTAAATGGCGGCATCCTACCAATTGAACTCACATGAGCATTGTGTAAGATTACTTTGTAGTACACGGCTTCCCTGCAAAAACAATGAACAATGCATCAACTTAGAAACCATCTCAGTGAATCTGTCGGTGAGGGCGTAATCACTTGCCGACCGTATCACCTGGATTGTATGTTCAGAATTTGTCTAGAAAAAAAAACATTGCTATCACATGATCAATAATTCTACAGTTATGACTGAAATTTTAAAAAGGTGCACTATATCTATTTACGTATGTATCCCGTACGTATCCAAGAGCTGTAGATGTATATTAAAGATTAGTCTTTACTTTTCGGAATGGGTCTTCAATCAGTGAAACAGCTGCCCGAAGACTCGTCTCGCGCCAAATTTAAAAAGTCGGGGGAATTGCGATACGAACACAAACTCGCAGAGAGAAACCTACATTTGTTGAAATCGTAATGAAAATTAGTTATATTCTAAATATTTCTTTTCAAAATAAAAACATTTTCGTTTTTGAATTAGAATGATGTAACTTGTCAACTTACTATGCTACTTTTACTCGTTTTCTGCTACTTTGAGAACCAAATAATAACAATAATTAAATGGTTATAGTAAGCATCAAACGTGTCTACTCAAAAACATGAAACTATTCATGTACATTATGGTTATATATATCTATATTGTCAATACGGGAGAAAAAACACAATTTTAATAACCACACATAGGTCAACAGTTTTACTAGTAACATATGGTTTCCTAGTCGTTTCGAATGTGGTTCACATTATTTATTTCATTTTGCTGATGTACAGAAAAATACATTATTTAGTTTATTTATATGAATGCTGATTCCAAAGAGATATGGTGTTGCTGGTGATGTTATGTTTTTCTCATGCATCCACAAAACAACGAAAACCGTAAACAGCTAATGGCTGCTGGGTGAGGTTATTGGCTTTACTTGGAGGGTGGTGGTCGTCGCACAGCGCACCATCGCCATTCAGCATTAACCAATTTGCAGCATTGACCTTACTACTCTCTTTGTCAACTTATTTCTTTTTCAGGACTTGAAATATATTTAGTAGTATTAGCTCCTTTGTCGAGCGGAGTTTATTATAAAGTGAGTGTCCGTCGTCGTCCGCGTCAACTTTTTATTTTTTCTAGTTCTTCTTAAAAACTACAAGCCTGATTGCTTTGATACTTGGTGTATATGTATCTTGGGCACACCTCACTTATGGGCACGTCACACCAAGACGTTCTGGCTAGCGTTCTCTGGCGTTTGAGGAAACGTTGGTAGTCGCCCAAAGTCGCTGGGACAGCGCCAGAAGAGCGCCGTGAGAACGCTAGTGAACGTCGGGAATCGGCGGAGAACGCTGATCCAAAAAAAAAGTTTTGAACATGCACAAAAGTTCTCATTTGAGACCAGCGTTCTTCAACGTTTATTTTTAAACGTTGTTAAACGTTAAATAACGTTCTTCGATCGTGTTGCTAACGTTCGACGCGTTCGACAATCGTTAGTCAGTCGTTGCTCTAGCGTTACTTAGTTGTTACCAATCGCTCGCTTTGCAGTGAACAACTCACTAGCGACCTGTCAACGACCGCTGAACGTACCCTTAGCGCACATAAAGCGTGCGACTAACGTCAAATTAACGAACTAACGTTTGATACACGCTCAACACGCTCACTTAACGTTTAAAAGTCGTTCGTCGCGCGCTAGTGACACGTTAGCACACGAAAATGATTTCCAGGGGTATCTTACTTGGTCGCTCATTACACGCTCCCCGTGCGTTAGGAACACGCTAGTCATAAGTTTAGGCACTCGTTAATCGAACGCTGGATGTGTCTACCTCGTTCCAGAACGTTCGGAAATTGGACGATTGGAACGTTCAGAGAACGCTGACCAAAACGTTATGGTGTGACGGGGCCTTTAGATTTGTTCATTTCATGTAGATATCTTCAATTCTCCTTCTAATTATGACGGATATTTTTGTCATTTTTGGTAAAAAGTGATATTTTTTACTTTACTTTATTTTTTACTGCAAGTCCAATTGCTTTGATATTATACATATAGGTACTACAAGTGGACGTCTCCCAGATTTTTTTATTTCGTGATGATATCTAACTTTTTGATTTTGACGAATACTTTATATCTGTTTGATTATATACCCTATATATAAAATATATTTTTGAAAGTCAGTCCATCACCCTTGGCTAGTATCGCCGATATTTCGTCGCCGGACGGATTTACATCATAAATTGTGGTTCCTCGAGCGTCTCTAATAAATCACCCGTCTAACCGCTGGACTGAATTAATGATATTATCGGACACGCAAGGGCGATAAGACTCGATTTTCAAGGACGCCGGTTGTTTGATAGGACTGTTTCTTTTGTTTTTAGTTCGTTGTGAGTCTAGAAACATAACAATGTTGTTTTTTAGTGAATATAGAATATGTTTGTTTCAATACAGGATGTTGATATGCCAATCAGGCAATGTTAACAATTTCTTAACAGAGTGTCCTCTGTATAAATGGTCCTCTACTCTCCAAAAATTGGCAATGGTACTAGCCAAGAATGGACTTTGATTGTAGCGATGTTTACGCCAGCCACTGTACGAAAATACGCACACTCGCGAATTTGACAACATTCACTTGAGCGTTTTAGGATAGTGGGAATAGAAGCAAATAGATGGAAATATCAGTTATGTGATGAATTTGTTTTGCGTATCTGTTAATCGACTTAATAAGCTGAATGGCTGTGTTATGTCTGGCATTGTTTAGGCCATTTGAGGTTCTGGACGGAACTCGACTCAGTGATTTGGAACTAATTACGAGATAACAGTCGCTATTCGGACTACTATTTCTGACAGTTGGTATTCGCATTCACTAATATAGTGAACGATTAATCAATAGATATGACGTGTTCAATACTTAGTGTGATTGGCTTTATGATTGAAGGTTACGCCTTAGAGTCTTAAGGTAGCGAGAAGGTTTTGTGACGTTTTTAAATAAAACATTCTCTGTCTGTTGTCTCGTTCAGAACAGTAATTTAGGTTATATATATCAAAAGACTAAGTATAGAGGTGCAAGTTCGCACAAACTGGACAGACATTGTTTACATAATTGTAATTGGTTAAGATTTTGAAAATGAATAAAGTTGTTTCAGTTGGTCTTGGCGGGTACACGAGGAGAGACGCAGTCCCGGAGAGTCTTGGGGAGAGTCCAGACGCAGTCTTGGGACAGAGTCTTGAGTCAGCCTTGCGATAGTCTTGGGGACTTTTCCCCAGGGCGCTGTGTCTTATAGAGTGCTCGACTGACCGACTAAGACGAGAGTTGAAACGTATTTCGTTGTGTGTGTCTTATTTGACTGTAAAGTTTAAGTGACTTTCCCGATCCCGCACCTCAAGGGGACGAGACATAGAGACGAGACGAGATTCCCCCTGGCACGTGCGGAGAACCCTAGAGGAGAAGAATTTCCCCCTCATAGTTACATCACTCATGAAGATTGGTGATTCGAGTGCTGGTCGGAGTAGACGTATTAATAATTAACTGAACTTCGAGTTACTAAATTTGAAAGTTAGCAAAACAAACTTCGAGTTACAATTTGGGCGTGCTTTCATAAAAGTAGGCGTGGTTTCTGAAATATGGGCGTGGTCATTTTTGTAACCCAATGTCCGTAACTCGAACAATTCAGCATCTCCGTTATGTCAGGCGCGTGTTGGGTTTGGAGCACTGCGGATGGCGCAACTCACGAGACCTTGTTAAGCTTCATGGCATAGTGAACAATTAATTTGGTTCGCCTGTTACATAAACATGCCATACATCATAGCATGTTATACACGTGCGTTCATGGATGTAACAGGCGAAACAGTCACATAAAGCAGCGTGTTACTCCGAAAACAGCGCAAAATGTCAGTCCCTATGCATGACGTTAAAGGGGAACCTTCAAAACCCAGGGATTGTACAAAAGAATCATAGGACACTATTGTTTATGTTGCTTACAATGTTAATCTATCTTTTGTTATCCATTGTAATTTTAATTCAGAAAGTAAATTTGTTGTGAGATTAGGCTTAACTGGAAGTGCCCCTTTAAGCTCAAACATAAACAACATTTTTTATTTTGAA